ACTATTTATGATTTTAAATGGATTCTCCACTGCATGGCAAGTTTTTTATAGCTTCAACAAAATGATGAATTTATGATACGTTTGAAATGTTTTGTTCAAAAATCAATGCTTTATTGCTCTTAGAAAATTTTAAATTATGAAATAAGTGTGACTTATAAATTTCAAAGGAACATATAACTATTCCTTATCGGGTTAGCTTATACATATTGTAAGGTTGGCACTTGCCTTTTTTTCCTACTTTCAATCACCATTTATTTTTAAATTCAAGAAAGAACGCCTGAGATTAATTTATTGGTATAACAGTTTTTGATAATCGGGTTGAAAATTGTAGGTATCATAGATGAGTACGATGAGGATGAGAGCTGTGATCAAGTTTTGGAATAGACTAACTACGGAGTCTATGGTTTTGATAAAGTAGATGAACTATGTCAATTTAGGTATTAAAAAAAATGTGTACACAGTTTTTACTTTGATGTACACATGTAGCTAGGTTGAACAACGCATCTAAACCTCACTACATACAAAACATTCGGAAACACAACAGTGTCATCACATCTCATCGCATTTGCATAATGTGTTACCAATGCTGGACTAGGTTATGGATTTGGTTCCGCAAATGTTCAAGATTTGTGATAAAATTTCTTACAATTATGGTTCATTCGTATCCACGAAATACATGCACAGCTTTATGTGATCTATATGGCCAAGGCAAAACTACCCCATAAGCTAATGAACTATCAAGTAAGAACAGGATAATTAAATACATAGGTCGATGTGGCAAGAGAAGGATTTAAAATTGCTGAGATCGAAGTAAGAATGTTACTGCTTCCTGGAGAATCAGATATTTTTATAAAAAAAAGTGATTAAGATTTACTTATAAATCCGGATACAATCTGAATGATTTTCCTAAAGCAGATTGAATTAATGGTCAGTAATAAATATTGACTCTTTCCGTAACATGATAGACTAATTATATGAACTCATTCTCCCATATAGTGAAAGTGGCTTTGGTATGAAACAAACTCATGAAGAAACAATTATAAGACTCCTAAAAAACCTTTTAGGCAACCTAAAGCCGATAAAAAGAAAGGTAGGAAATATTGTGTTAAACGAATTCATCAATCACGTTTTTTAGGGAACACAATCGTCATACTTATTATTGCTTATCGTCCCTTCATATAACTAAGATTTTAATGACTTAACTCTATCCAACGCAGTTAGCTGAATTTACATAAAACCTCAAGATTAACCGTCGATTTCGACGGGGTTCCACTAGTACCTTATTACCTTCAAGACAAACGCAATAACATATAAAGATAGAAAACCTGATAAAAAATAACACTGGTATGACTGTTTTTGTGTCGCGTAGTATATATTTAGTTCTTATGATTCTATCATATTGGTTTGTTGGTCACATAGTTGCAGACAAGTACTTATACCACACGCACTATCATAGTTTTTTAGACACAGACCACAAAAATGCCATATCTCGGTCATTTTTAATTGGATTTTCTACGTCGATGTGTCATTACGTTTGTGTCAGAATTTACAGTAAAAAGCATTCTTGTGTTTATTTTAATGATTTACTGGTATAACGTTACTACTCTTAAAAATGTTTAAATGGCTGCCATATTACATTTATAAATTGTAATATATTCTTGCAAAACTAATTAAACTAGCATTAACATTTATTTACAATTTAAAATTTTAAGTAACATGGATATAAAAAAAACAAAATGGTGGCTCTGTGTGTAACCATTGATTTACAGGTGCTTTGTGATACTGTATTTATACATTCGTTATTAACACAGAAATTATATTCTAAAAGGTTGGTAGAGAGTTACTTAACACCCTATAGTTCGACAGAATTGTTATAACAAACTCACTACTAGATCATAAATGACCAGAAATATATTTTCATCAACATCATTAGGAGTACTGGTTAGATGACGTATTTTCTCGTCACACAATTGGTATTTGGAATGTGACGTTTGCAGTAAAGATTTGAATAAAACTTGTTCAATATCGTACAAAACTGTGATTTTATTATTTTGTATAAACAAATCTTTCAATAAGTCTTAATTTACGACTCAACGAAATAAACTATGACCAATAGTTGTATCACCAGCGTTGCCTTAGTTTTTGTGTTAAAGATGTTCGCTTATGAGGCTACCACGTAAAATCAAAACAATTGTTAGGTTGCAATTGAGGTCAATCACACTCTCGCAGTTACTTCCCTGCAAAGTGACCCGAGTGACCCTACGTAAGGAATATCTAAGAAATAGCAAATTAAATCCTTGTACGCTAATCACTTATATTTCCTTTACCTTTCCTAGTACTAAACACTGATTCCCTTCATTGCATTATTTGTTAACGGAAGTCCATTCAAATTCTTGCGTCGAATTGTTGTAATGTCAACCCTATCCTTCTGGGAACGTCAGACGTCCGGTGTCGCTGGGGTGGCTGGGGGCAACAAACTCCATCTTCTATCTCGCTCTACCCCCACTCTAGCGCTTGCTACCCCTCAACTGCCAGGAAAGGCCATAAATCAGGCGATTAGCTTCAACAATACCCGGGTAGGATTATGGGACGACCTCCGTCTCCCCCTGGATAGGGCGAATACCTTTTTTCAGAGACGTGTTCAATAGAGATGAGTTCTTGAATATTTTCTGGAATCTCCACTTCAATCACAAGGATACCAACAATGCAGTGCCCAGGGGATTTCTTGTTTCACCCATAGTCGACCATATGAAAGAAATGTGTAGGCTTTTTTATAACCCCTCAGAACACATTTCAGTCGACGAGAGCACCATTTCCTTCAAAGGAAAAGTTAGTTTTAGGATCTATAACCCAAACAAACCAACCAAATTCGGTTTGAAGATCTTTGTTGTGTCCGATAGCAAGAGTGGCTATCTATATGATTTTATCCCATATTACGGAAAGGAGACACTAATACCAGACACAACATTGCTAAAAACAACACAGATTGTAAAAGTATTAGCCCAGTCTGTTGCTATGAAAGACCCTGTTTCACCTGCTACTGGTCTCCACGTTTACACAGACAGATATTACACGAGTCCTGAAATAGCAGAAGAGCTATTAGGTATGGGATGTTTCCTTACAGGCACTGTAATGCCAAACAGAGTTGGTTTACCACCAAGATTGAAAGCTATTGGTAAAGGCCTAAAAAAGGGGGAAATTGTTTCCAAGCGAAAGGAAAATACACTGGTACTTTCTTGGAAAGATAAGCGCACTGTACACATGCTAAGCACTTTTTCCAAGGGTAGCAAACATAATACGACGGATGTCCCAAGCAAGTGGCCGAACAAGCCACCAACAGCAAAACCGCATGTTATCCTTGATTACATAAAACATATGGGAGGCGTTGATCACACCGATCACTTTATTTCATCTTACCAGTTTATGCGCCGAACTAGAAAATGGTATAGAAAAATGTTTTTCTGGCTTTTTGAGGTGGCTATTGTGAACTCGTACATTATGTACAAAGACATACAACAAAAGCACAACAAAAATCCCATGTCACATAGGCAGTTCCGCACATGCTTGGTGAAGTCCTTGGTAGAGGAAAAACTCGCTAATCGTCCAATAGCACGTAAAAGAGGCCGTCCAGTCTACGGGCCACCGAATCAACGGTTAGATGGAAACCCACATTTTATGGACAGAAAAGAAAAGGGAGCTAATCGGTGTGTGGTGTGTTTCAAAAATGGACGCCGCCGCGAGACAATCTACTTCTGCAAGACTTGCGACTCCCGTCCGGCGCTTCACCCAGACACCTGTTTCGAGCAGTTCCACACGATGGCTGAGTACTAGAACTTTATAATGTTTTTGTTGGACCCTAACATTGTTTTTAGTGATTTTTTATGAACTTGGCATTGTATTCCTTTTTATAATATTCTGTTTCAAAACTGTTTAGAAATACTTTTTTTCAATTTTCAATTTTTGTACGTTTATTTTTTTTTTTTTTTTATTTTTTTTTTATTTTTTTATCGTTTTTGTATGCTAATATTGTCTTTTGTATCAATTTTACAACAATACTGCATTTTTAATTTTTCTCTAAACAATTACAAGTAAACAAAATAGAAAAATAAAATAATTTCTCATTTTGTATGTAAAACTTTAAAATTCGTGTAAAATATATTATATTGATTTTTTTTCTTTATGCTTAGTATTTTTTTTATCCTTGGATATGTCCAAATGTAGAAGTAAAATTCGCCAGTAAAAAAAAAAAAAAAATAAAATAAAATAAATTCCGCTGTTGGGGTTTAGGTGAGGTAAATGATATTCCGCGTGGGAAGGGTTAAAACGTGTTTGTACTTTTATTAAAAATTGTTTGAAAATAAGATTTTAATAGTTTTAATGTTTAAGGGTTATATTTTTATAGTAATCAAATTTATTTGCATAAATATTAAGAAAAAATATTTTTCAATACTAACAACTACTTAGAATTGTTTAATTTATGTAATATGTTTAAGTTGAATGCATATTTCGAACGACAACGAAATATTTACTATGTTTTATAATGTAAATATAATTTTTGCTTTAACAATCAAACACAATCAATAGCAGGAATATTGACGTAAGAATGGTTGTAACAACTACTTATCGATCGAAGAAGTAGATAGAAACGTCACCTTGGATATCGTGACAGTTGGTTGTACATTTCTATTCATAAAATATAATGTTACATACGTCATTGGATATATGAGACATCAATACATCTTCAAGTAGAATTGGTTGGACGCCTAATAAGCTGTTTACACAAAATATTTTCATTCGTTATTTTTTTAATCTATAAATTATAACTCATCATGCAAGTCACGGGTATTTTTGCTCTCATATTCTTGACATTTTCTACCAGTTTTCGTAGAGGTCTACAATAGTAAGATGATCAAGACTTCTCCAGTACTTAAGTGGATAACAAATCGTGTGATGTATACAATTATTAGTTTTATGCAATGCTTTTCATCTGTTGTTTCAAGGAGCTGATGAAAACAAATTGAACAACCGTTACAACAACAACGAGTTCAACAATCCTTTCCAGGCCCTTCAGCTGCGGCCCGGGGGCGTGGGGCCCAACGGACTCACCAAGAAGCAGGAAATGTTGGTCCGTTCAGCCATCAAGTATTGGGTGGAGAGACACAAGCACGTTGTCAAGTACGTTGCAAAATTTGTTTCAACAATGTAAATGTTTTCCAAAAACTACTCTTTTGTCCTAGGATGCTAGGCATGAGCCCGGGATTGTTTTTCACATTATTTCAGACTATACCAAGGAGTTGGGGCATTATCACTTAGGTAAAATCCATGATTTTATCCATCCCCAAATCACCAAAGAAGTCTCTATCCGGATGTTTATCTTCGTATATCGTTCTTAAAGGCCTTCCACTAGAAGCCTAAAAATAATTATTAATTTATAACTTTTGATAATTTTTAAGATTTCATCCGGGCAGTGTAATGTGGGAAAATTACGCAGGACGAGTCATTTACCTAACATATTACTTTATAAATATGTTTACTTTTACGCAAGTTATAGGGTACGTGATAGTTACACAAACACAATACAACCATGTGTTATGTAAAGCCAATTCGATTTTTGTTCAGAATTATGGAGAGGAAAAGGTTACATGAGTTACCAATGAGTTTTAATATTCTAAAATTAAATAAAAATGTAATGCTTTATACACAGTTAAGTACTTTATTCTATTGTGCAAAATATCCCCGATGCATCAAACCTGCAGACTTAACGAATTTCTACTTTCCTGATTGTATTTTCACTGGTATATTTTCTTTAACGTAACAGATTTATTGCCTATTTAAATAGCATTGGGTTAAATGAATTCTCAGGTTGGCTACTATGAGGAAGGTAATAAAATGTGTTTTAAGTGACACGCTAATGTTAGTGTATAATAAATCAATTAAACAAATTTGATAAAAAAATCCATTATCAAGCAAACTACAACAGCTTACTTCTTCACCATAACAATGAAATAGGAATTTTAAATTATATATTTTTGCAATTTTCAACGTAGCCCTGAAGCGTAATAGTTATTTGTGTAACTAGTGGTGAAAGTGGCACTTTGCTGCACACGAGAGCAATGTTTACGCACGAGCCGCAGGCGAGTGTGGAATGATCTCGAGTGCAGCAAAGGCCTTTTTCACTCGTGTTACACATTATATTTTTCCTACAGTCACTATAAAGCATATAAATAATTAGTCTTTCAAACACTATGCAACACGTTTTTAGGTTCAGCTGGCAACACAAATGGTGCCCTAGAGAAAGTAGTACCCGCGGTCCATATCACTCCGCTATTTTTCCTCGGCAAGAAATGTGCTCCGCGTTTTGAGAATATAGTTCCGTATGTTTATGTAATTTGAAGTGGTTTCCGCGCCTAAAAAAAAATGCTTAAAAGGTATTTTCTTGTTTATTAAGATCGTAGGAAGGTTTTAAAAACGTTTAAAAGAAAAGTCCAGAAAGTTCAGAAATACCGAAACTATAAACACGAAATGACAGGTTAAATCGTAGTTATAATAGTCAATCAGCTGCTCATAGTATAATTATCTTTAAGTGTTGCCAACCTATTTCCAAGCGTACACGGATTACGTGCATAATGGAACCACGCTGTTTTGTGTTGTTTCGTTGGAATCCTGATGTGCGGCAAAGTATAAACCGTACGGCAAAGTATAAATATGCAGCAATTAGCAGCTTTCTGTACTATAAACAGTACAAGGAAGCCAACTTTGTCGGGTGACTGTAGGAAAAAACAATTTTAAGTACTTGATTGTTTGTTTTTGGTCGAGGAATAAATTCAAAAACTTTATGTTTCGGGGTCAATATTTAGAAAAAAACACTTTTAACCTATAACCTATTATTGCATACAAATTGCGTTATGTAGAATTAGGCTCATTAACCATTCATTAAACATATTTATGAAATTCGACATATGTAAAAAATATTCGATGAAGGGTAAAACGTAAAGTAAAATACAATCTTCCCTTTCAGTTTCAGTATCTTTTATTACCAGGTAGGATTAAGTTTCACTCAGTAGATACATTTTTCAATGGTAGCAGAAAACATCAAAATTACAATGAACAAAACTCCTTTTGTTGAGGTTAGACAATACGTTTTGTGTTGTTGGCAGGACCAAACAACATTCGCTAAAATTGATATTATGGTCTTCAATGTGCTTTCCTTTTATTGGCTTTCACATGTCAAATTCCCCCTAGATTGAAGAGGAAATCGTGCCACTATTACAGTGGAAATAAATAGGCGAACAGCTACAATGGTATATCAAGCATTTATAATGATAGTGGAGTATGCTTTAGCAAACTATCTTTTATTATTACATGGCATTGATAAATAACATTAATAGATCTTATTACTATTTTTAGAACGTGTATATAGCATATTTATTAAACTATAGCATAACAGATGCAAACCCCTTGTGGGGATGAGTTCTCGGCGATTATTTGCTCAAGAATGAGATCTGTAACTGGTGATAATGATGCATTTTAAGTAAATATAAAATACCTAATACAATTAAAAAATTCTTATCAGAGAAACCAAGGTGTTGTTGAATATTAATTAGGTTGTAACCAACTCAGATTTTATATTACCCAGACTGTGTAAGTTAGTTTTATAATGTAAAATGTGTCAAATACCTCCGCTGCAGAAAACCTGCAGTCTAAGTAAATTATTTCAATTTACCTTGTTGGATTTTCACAAAAACATTCCCTTAACATTTACATATATATTTCCAATTTAAATTAGATATATTTTAATAGTTACTCAGGTTTGCTACTACAGGAAAGGTAATTAGGTGGGGTTTCAATCAAATCTTAATAGCCTAATTTAAAATGAACAAATTTGACAAAATTTGATAAAAATATATCCCTAAACAAGCAAACTACAACTGGTTATTTATTCCCCACACAAAAATAACATGGTAATATTAAATTTACATTTTCTTTTGAATTTCCTACATTGTCATTATGCGTCCAACCATGCTTTAATATAGTAAATTATTTGTTTTACTAAGCTTTACAAAATATTTTATGTTTATTTTTTTTTCTAATATTAAAATGTTAAACATTTTAACGAGCTATGTCTAGCCTGTTCTAAAGGGAGTGAGCTGGTCTACAGTGGTAGAGCACCAGTCCTTGATCCTTGAGGTCCTGGGGTCAAATCCCACCAATCACCAATGGATTTTATCTACGTATTAATGCCGCACCCTCTAGGCCTAGCCTGAAGTAATGTTTAAAACGGTCCCGATCTTAGAGTCTATGTCCTAGGATGTGAATGTTGAACGTACAAAAATCACTTATTCTAAAGCATCCTACAGTCGGGACCACCTGCAGTTGAGGGAGGAGCCTATTTACCACGTGACTTCGAAGGAGCCGATGAGGACAGTGCGGTGTTGCCAAATCTAATAATATACCAATTAATTTGAAAATATTGTTTAGTATTTTAATTAGTGTCGTCAACGGGCGATATGGCAACGTCGCACTAGCCTTGTCTTGTGATTGGCTGCCGCCAACTACAGACTCTCGTGGTCCCGACTGTAGACATAATTATCTATATGTTGCCTTTTTGGAGAATAAGTTTCCTCTTTAATTTCCTAGACTGCTAACAACTCAGGGGTTGTATTACTAAATGTTTATACTTTGCCAAGCTGTATCAACTTGTATTGTAAATAAACTGATTTAAATGTGAGAAACCAACACCCAATGCCTTTACAGTTTATTTTAATAATTATGGATAAGAATGTTACTGGTGGTTGTGTATTTGACTTCATAAGATTTTGAAATTGTTGGATGTTTTACTTTGGTGTTTTAATTTGGTGAATGTTTTACTTTTTCATTAGTTAAAGTTTAGCTTGGATAAACATTTAAAAGCCAACCCAATAGAATAAGTCGAAAGGGATTTATAAGTATTTATTTAATATCAGTTTAAGGTAATGGTAATGCTATAAGTAATAAGGTTTAGTTGGTTATTAAGATATCCTTTAAAAGAAGGAATTCACTACTTTAACAATAATATTACTTTATTAAAGGGCTGCGTTATTAGTGCAATATATCTTAAGGACTAACTGCTAAAAGTAATGAAATTCCTTAAGAATTGTGCAGTATAACAGAAATGTTTTCTTCCTTATCAATTTAAGTTAACAATTAGGACGGCATTTTTACGTCATAAAGTAAATCGTTTTTAGTTTCATTTATCAGTCGGTACAAACATTAGTCACACAAATGCAAAATCCTGATTTAGGGTGTTTTGACTAAATATAAATTCTTAGAGGCAATAAACCTTTATTAGAAAGTTATCTAACCATAGTATCAAAATAGCCAAACATTACAAACCCGACGATTTTTTTTTTTGATACGTCTTCCCACAAAAAATCACAAAACAAAATACTATGTGGAAACTCAATGGTGAGATTGAGCTATCACAAATTCCAGTATTGTCAAATAGATTTAAATGAAAATAGATTAGGCAAATGGAAATTCGCTTAGACTGCAGGTTTGCTGGGGCGGGGGTATTTTACTTTTTATTTATGATTAATAATAACTATTATTATTACTTCTACCATATATAGTCAATTCTTCTACACATACTTAACCATATACAAATGTTGAACTAGAGGGTAGGTTTCCGTGGTCATAGTAGGCTATCAAACCTTGGTATTTTATGAGACCAATCATTTGATCACATCGTTGGACTGGCAAAAATACTGACTAACGTTTCGGCAGATTTGCAGCTATTAGACAAAGCAGAGTAATTGTATATGCCTTTTACTTGGAATGTGTTTTTGTCAAAAATGTTTAGTTATTCAATAATTATTACTTTTAATCGTAATTAGTTACAATAAATACATTTCTAGGCACGTCGCCAACACAGGGGATGCCTACGGATCAGCTCTGCTGCTTCACATGCTTACCAGTACAGTCACGTTGACTCTACTTGCCTACCAAGCTACAAAGGTGACTGTACAAGATCGTCTATACAGTGTGTAAATTAAGTATTGAAACAAATCTGTATTTTTAAAACCAAAATAGATAGAAATATTCTGTTTGTGGAAATAATTGTTAACAAATGTTCCGCAATTTTTTACATCAAAAATATTTTTTAACACCCTTAACAGGGTAGGGGGTGGGGGTGACTTATTTTTTTTTTCAAATAGCAACCCAAAGAAACACAATGACGCAAATGTGAGGTGAATATCTCACTCCTAACCAAAATGGCGGGTATTCCAAAATGGGTGCTTTTTCACATAAATTAAATTTTGGAATACCCGCCATTTTGGCTAGGGGTGAAATATATACCTCGGGTTTGCGTCATTGTCTTTCTTTTAAAAAACCCTTCAAATTGAGGGGTCACTCAATAGGGGTTGTTATTTAAAAAAATAAGTCATCCTCACCCCCACCCTGTTAAAGGGGTTGAAAAAATATTGTTGATGGAAGAAATTGCGGAACCTATGTCAACAATCAATTCAACAAACAGAATATTTCTATCTATTTCGGTTTAAAAAATACAGATTTGTTTCCATTATTTGTGAAATTTGTGCTTTTTCACATACAGTAAATCAAATTTTGGAATACCTGCCATTTTGGCTAGGGGTGAGATATCCACCTCGGGTTTGCTTCATTGTGTTTCTTTTGACAAATCGTTCAAAATGAGGGGTCACGCAATAGGGGTTGCTATTTGAAAAAAATAAGTCACCCCTACCCCCTACCCTGTTATGGGGGTTAAAAAATATGTTTGATGTGAAAAATTGCAAAACCTTTGTTAAAAATTATTGCTACAAACAGAATATTTCTATCTATTCCGGTTTTAAAAATACAGATTTGTTTCAATACTTAATTTACACACTGTATATTAACAGTGTAGTTTGACAACCTACCAAGCTATCGAAACTGTAGATTAACGTCATGCTATTTTGGTTGGTGCATAATAGCGTACCAATGTAGCTATGGTCGTTTGTCTAATAGTGTACCTAGACGAACCTAGTAATTATGGTTGATTCTAATAGAGTGACAAGTGACTATGGCTTTTGCCCAGTTGCATACCAAGGCAATGGGTGTGTGTGTGTGTGTGTGTGTGTGGGTGTGCGTGTGTGTGTGTGTGTGCGCGTGTGTGTGTGTGTGTTTCTTTCCTAATAGCGTACCAAGTCACTATGGCTTTTTGCATAATGGCGTACCAATATACTGGGGTTGTTGCCTAATAGCGTATTAAGTTACTGTCATTGGTTCCTGGTTGTTTAACAAGTCACTGTGGTTTCTGTGTAATAACTTACTGAGTCATCTAATAGCACAAAAGGTCAAATATGGCAGTATTAGAACGCCTAAAAATCTTCTATGGTTTCTAAATTCTAGCTAAACCTATTGTAGTGGATGTGTGGGCGGTTGTGGAAATAGGCAACCAAGGTTTTAGGTTTTAGGATTGCCTAACAGCAAAATTCAAATAAATTACATCAATCTACTACGTGATTATGACTTTGTGTGATAAATAACAACACTAAAAGTGAGTTGATGTCAGCCCATTAATATTTTATGGCTTAAATTACCAAAGCGTACAGATTTCAGAACAAACTTTAATTAGTCATGACTCTAACCCGTTTTAACCTTGATCAAGAAAGGCTGGCATTTCACTAAGCTATTACAGTACTAGGAATGTATAGTATACAAATAACCTTCTTAGATTAGTTTTTCAAGACTTTAATGATAAACTAATGAATCAAAATGTTAAGAGACGTACTCAATATAAATTTAATTATATATTTGAATTTTTTATTACAGATTGACCGGGTGGATACGTTCTCTATCACAGTGATTGGCTACCTGTTCTATTCTTTGGCTCAGGTGTTCGTTTTCTGCATTCACGGGAACGAGCTTATTGAAGAGGTAATGCCTACTTTTCAATTGCATTCTATTCTACTGTACTGTACCAGAATAGCCTAATATACTGTATTGTAATATGCTGTAATATACTGTAGTCTACGTAGCCTGGCTCGAATTTAAAACACACGAACGCATTAATGTTATCAGCAATGCAAATTAGATGTAAAATAAAATAGCTTATTTATCTATAAGCAATGAATTTTAATGCAATATGTGTTTTCTAAATAGAGCATTTTTCGATCCCTATATAGTTATTTGTTCGTACATTTAGCCTATATGTTTATAAAGGACATATGCACCAATTTACATTTAAAATATATCATAGACACAAATAAATAATTATACAAAGTAAGATAACCAGATATATTGAGGCTGGCAAAAACAGAGAAACTATGAAAAGAAAACAATAAATTATGAGGAATACGTATTGAAAAAGTATTAAACTTGACAATGTATTATCATGACAACTTATAAAATATCACAACAAACCTTAACCAACCCAGCAATATATAAGACAAGTAAAATATAAAAAAACATCGATAGCTCGAAAATGGTTTCATTTCATGACATTAAAGATGTCGAGTGGTCAAAGTTCAATCCGTTGCAGCACGTCGTACTACTCCCAATGTGTTTGTGAAGAGATTCACTGTAATGCTGATCTCAGTGGTACTGAAGCGCATAGATCGATTAATTTGATTTGGTTGTAGGTGGTCAAGCTCAATCAAGTGCTGATGTCTCCTCGTTCTGGTACTAACGAAAACATACAAAAGTATTTGTTGTTGTTGTAGAGCGATTGGATTAGGAATATCATAACCCCCGTCTACTTTTTTTGGACCATGTGCAGCAGAAAGCTCATCAACCCGTACTTCATAAAAACCAAAACCGTAATGATAACCTACAAACCAGTCTTTACATCGACTAGACATTGTTAATTTGGCCGAGCTGCCGAGTTAGTTAACATGAGAACACTACGGAGAAGTTCTAGAGTAGTTGGCAGACGAAAGAATTGACAAGCCATGTCTTACAGAGCGGCAAACCATTCCGAGCATGTGTGAGGCCTTAGCGCAGATGTGGTTGATGGGGCCCAAATCCAAATGGCAAGTCGGTAAAACCTCCAAAGTCCTTAATGGTATCGCATCTTTCCACCTGACCGCAGACCAGGAAATAGTCAACAGCGAGAGTATGCAGTCTCCTGCTGAACGTGGTCGACTTGGTTTTGGTGAGATTTCTTTGGATGAAGATGTTGGACAAACACCAGCCAAGGGCATTTTCCAAGCAAATCCAATTGTGACAGGTGATAGATCAAGCGAAGACGTTAATGTTATCAGAGAACAAAAAGGGAGCGACCTTGATGACTCTTTGGTTCTTGTGGAAAATTATGGAGAACAAGAGGTCCTGGAGCTTGAAGTGAAATTCGATGAGACATCAGGATCAAGTTCTTAATCATTGCGGCATTATGTTGGTAGACTCATAGCTTGTAGCTTTGTGAGAGAATAACGATGATTGATCTTGTCAAAAGCCTTGCTATATAGTCTTTGTAAATAGCGTCATCTTGATTTCTTCAGCTAAAGGCTTCTATTACAAGACACTCTAGCGAGGGGATATTTTGGCGGAATGACCGGTGGAGGCAAAACCATTCCTCGTCAACCGATACAAATGAATCAGCGTTAAGAACCATATGAATCTTACCCTACAGAAAAATAGAGCTTCTTTATAGCCTTCTTTCTTAAGTTCCTATTCACACACAAGCTCTAATTTTCATTTTCTTTAAATAATAATAGCAATACTAACACACGCTGAAAACTTTTTAAAGCCAATATTTATAATGTTTGCTTTAAATAATTTACTTTAATCAAGCATGGTTACAAAAAAGAACCCATCGACGAAGCATACAGTATCGTTATAGTTTGGAAAGGTTTCTCTTTAAATGAATTAGAAAATTTAATTTTTTTATTTGGAACGTTAAATATCTACTCACCTGGCTGAATTAAGTGAGTGCCGAAAGGATTAAATCAACAAAATTGTAAGTTACACATACTCTATATTATTAACCTCTTGAAGTCCGGCGTGGACTTTAACAGGTTAAATCATCACATTGAAAAAACGCCTCTTTTCAAAAACATTTATATTATTTGTTAGAGAGGAATATTTTAAATATCATATGAAATTTGAAAACATAGAATGCACTTATAACATTTCTTTCTTTCACAATAATTTTAGTTTTGCAAGTTTAACATGTATAATGTAGACAATCTATTCCAAACCAAATCACTCAAACCTAGGAAATATCTAGTCCTTCCTATAGTAATGAACCCTTTTTAATTTGTGCTAAATGTGTGTACACCCTATTGTGAGAGAGAATGACTGAATGTTCCATTTATATTATTCTTAAATAAGCTTAAAACAATGTTAGTCTTGTATAACATGGATTGTTTTACAATTTTACGATAATGATTCAGAATATTTCACTTAGATAGATAAAATTGCTTTATTTTTCTGAATAGTTTACAAATTTACAAAATGTATTATTTTTATGCACAAAAGACAATAGTCATTTGACCGTCTGTCTGGTTGGCAAAGTCCAGTTCCACTATCTAAATACAATCAACACTGCACTGATATAAAAATAACAAACATAAAAGCACTCACTTAAAAGCTAAAACAAAATGTAAACAAATTTACATTCATTCCTATTTTTGAACTGCGACAAGGAATCTAATCTATTGCCTACACATACCTCGACACATACAAATACACATACCTCACATCATACTAGGCTATACTGTAAATACATACATACACACATACAAACATACAATAACAATACAATAACAATGTATCAACTCATATCCCTATTTATGTTTGATATACATTCTAACATACAGTTTTTAGAGTTAAACCAAGAATTTCCTTATACAGTAAACAGTTAAATAATAAATCTTTTAGATAAAAAATATCATGATCCTACCTAAAAACTAACTATTCATTTCTAATTTGTTACTTTGTAAAAGAAACTTTTTTCCTTGTAATGTAAGAATGCTGAAACATAAAAATACTGCTCTAATAACATGAAAGAAAAAAACATAGTATATGATTATTGTGATTTCTCATCAAATAGCCTAGTATATAATGTTTTAAACTGCTTAATTCATGTATGCTTATTGTCACATGTCTTTCAGAAGATACCCTTGATTCGAGTACCTTTAGAACAGAATATTCCCATCAAGTTATGATTTTTGAAAATTAAATTCATTTATTAATATCGAATATTTCACTTCGCTCACCTTAGAATAATTGTACAGTAGTTAAATTTTGTATGGAATGCTGGAGCCTAGAGGTAGGAATTTTTTTGGTAGGAGTTTGGTTGGAAGATTTGACATTCATCTTTCATCTCGATCACCTTCCTTCTCTAAATAGTAATATTTCTACTCCCAGAGTAGCACACAACCCGTGTAGTTTTTCTTCCTCCTCCCTAGAGTTTTACTCATTCTTCTGCAGTGTACTAACCGTTTGTGATTATCACTTGCTATAACATTTATAAACATCGTGTATTCCAACCTTAACATAATACCCCAAACATTCTTGTTCATTTTACCTTCTTCTTTGTTTCCTGGCTTTCATTTTTTTGGCCACACTCTACATAACATAGCATTTTTGATGTACTAGGACTACTTGCCATTCGTTGATGGAATAGTAAATTGCTTGGGCAAAATTATAACTCCTTTTTATGAACGTTACTGAATTTTTTAAATCTTTGATCAGGGTAACTTTAAATTTACTAATAATTTTAATTCTCTTCGTGGCCGCTGGTCTTGTGAACAATGGGGAGAGTTCCTGTTCGTCAAGAGGCTAGGAATCTGGTATCTTGAGGATTATTCGAGTGTTTTTTGGGTTATTGACTAATGTAGTTGAACTGTGAGAATCTATATTTTGAAGTGATATGACTGGTGGTTACTATTTTAAGGCACAAAAATTGTAGCTGACGTATTGGGTTGAATTTACCTATTTTAAAACACTGCAAACAATAATGTATGTGTTTACTGTAAACACTGCAAGGTTTGATTGTTATTGACATAAACAGTGTCGTCTAGTCTCAAATTGACTGACATACTGGAGTACGGGACAACATTTAAACCCCCTTTACAGTAGGAGACGAACATACTAAGGGTGGGAGATTCAAGAGAGAGATTCAAGAGATTTATTGTACCATTAAGTAATAAATACAATAGGTAACGTCAAAAACTATTCTAAAATAAACAAACCAATGCATCAAAAGGTGTGCTTTAAAGTGTTTGTCTTCATTAGTAAAGCTATGTAAGCATATTTATCAATCAACAGTGTATATTTTGTTATTAAACTTTTAGTGTGTGCGATATGTTTAAAAGATAGAAAGATCTCAGGAAAATTAGAAATTTATAAGCCGCAAATTAGAATTAGAAATTAGAAAATTCAGATATGTAAGCAACATTTACGATAAAACACGTAAACTCTATACTCTAATGATGATAAAAGTGTAATTTACGTATTTATATTGCACAACTACGCAATGGCCACGAAGAACATATCAAAAGAGATTTCAAATATATGTGCAAGGCTACAAGTTGTCCTTTAAGAATAGCGTTGTTGGATGTTATACGCAAAAATTGAAAACTGAATCACCAGAAAATTGAGTATGTACAATATGATCTACAATGGGCTTAATTAACATGATTTATTTTACATACCTTTTGAAATAAAACAACCATACTACAATGGTAAAAATGATAATGCTACACAAGAATTACTAAACATGTAATGATACCTTTTTCATAACAAACGTTTTTGAATAGTGCTAAAACCTCTTTGAACATAACTTTAAAATTATTTATTCTCTGATGTTTTAGAAAAATATATTTTACATATTTTAAATGAACATATTACAAGTACCATGAAACTATATGAGAACTTTAAATATTTCTGGTTGTTTTGTGTAATGTATTATCTTTAAACCAAAATCTGCATCC